AGGCATACTACAATCCTAATTAAGAGAACTTAATGCAACATTACAAGTAATAAATTAGAAATTTATAGGGTAGAAATTCTCATCCCAGATCTCCAGAGAAGCAGAAAAACAACTGTGGCTTTGCCTGACTTTGTAACACACTGCCGTTTACAAAAGCCCTGGTTTAAAAATAAATTTTTTTTAAAAAGCCCCTTACGTCCCTCCATCTCATGTCTCATCTCTTTAGATCTTTAAGAAAACTCTCATTCTCTCTGGGGTTCTTTTCTTTTCTTTTCTTTTCTTTTCTTTTTTTTTTGGCCTTTTTCTTTTTTATCGGTACCAGGATCGAACTCACAGACTGCCTGCTTGCAAGGCAGGCTCTTATAACGCTGAGCTAAATCCCCCGCCCCCTGGGGTTATTTTCTTAATCCAGGCCAAAATGAAAGGAGAAAATAGATGAGAAGTGACTGACAAAGATTCCTCTACCCTCAAAAGATCTACCCAAATGCTTTTTCTTACCCTCTTAATTGCAAATCAAAATGTACTATCATTCTGTCACTCAAAATTATCTGTGTCTGAGGGATCCAGAGCCGTGAGATTTCTTACGATGTTTCCATGATTCACTCCACAGTTTATCAAAAGACCACCAAAAGGATAAATGAACTATCATCCAAAAATTATCACATTTGAAAAGCAAAATGTTATACAAGTGTGTAAGTTTTTAGTTTTTATTAACTAGGTATAGAAAACTAAAAGCAAACCTGCAATGCAGTCAATTTATTTCCTACACTAAAAACTAAGCACAACAAATAGAAAGATGGATTGTGGAGGGGCTGGGGATTTAGCTCAGCGGCATAAGCACGTGCCTTGCAAGCAGGCAGTCGTGAATTCAATCCCTGGTACCGATAAAAAGGAAAAAGACCAAAAAAAAAAGATGGATTGTGAATCTCAAGAGATGCAGCACTTGACACAAACTTCTCTGAACCAAGCAAGACGACAGTAATGAGTACTGCCATACAAGTCAGTAGCATTTTCAACAGGAAGCTCCTCCATGTTCCTGGTTAGCATGCAACTGTCCCTGCACCTGAGTGCCCCACCTCTACCCTCAGTTAGCTGAGGGAGATATCAAAGCTGCCACTGCACCAGAAACAAGGAAGGTTACTTTTGCAAATGAGAACAAGTTTAGGAAGAGAAAAAAAATGTGAACTAAAATATACCTACCAAAGCAAGTTTGCCGTGCTCCCAGTGAATATTTGTTAAATAAAAAAAAAAAAAACCTAAAGTGTCTACTGTGTAGAAATTCATTTCTTGTTCTGTAACTCTGCAACCTGAGAAACTCCAAAGCTTTGCTACCAAAATTATATCAATGCCATTTTCATACTAACTGTAAATTGTTTAAGTTTTGCTCCTCTTAATTTTAGTTATTTCATAAACACTGAATATTTAAGAGGGGTAGGACTAGTAAAGACACTTTCATGCGGTAGACTTCAAGGAAGAAAAATATAGGGAACAAATAAACCTATTTAATATGGAAACCTATCTTCCAATTAGTCTGATCACAGACTATTTCTATAACTTTCAAAAAGTTACTTCAACTTTCTGGGCCCCAGGTTTATTTATAAACTGGAATGGAATGAACTATCCTCAAAATCCCTTCTAATTTCAATGACCTATGAATCTGTTCATAAAGTAAGAAAATGCAATTGCAAATCAGACTTTGAGATTTACAAAGTACAATACTTTCATACATATATACTCATTAATCTTTGTTGCAAAGCTATAAAACAAGTTGTGTGCTCATCTCTGCAGAAAAAGACGGTAACACTCAGAAAAAAAGAGATCAATTATTTTTTAAGACTACCACATTATTTCAAACTTTTTAAAGAAATTAAAATCCAGAAGTAATTGCGTGTTCTGCAGAATCTTAACAGGGGCATCAGAGCATCAAAATATGAATCCAAGATAGGTTACTGCAAGCAACTCCCCTGGACCCACAGTTCCACAAGGCCACACTCTTTGGCTCTCCATTAAAATTACAAAAATCAACAACACACCTTCCAATTGGCAGCACTCAATAAATATTGCTTGGCTTACCTCAAATTTAAAAAGCTAGAAATAAAGTGCAGTTATGAAAATAAATTTTTTATTTAAGTTTGAAATTTGAATTTCTGCAATTTAAGCCTACAGGAAGAAAGAAGCATGTTCTCTCAGGGCTCCAGCTCTTCCTTCTGGGAATGAATCTATTTGTGCTTCTCAGAGGAAAACCAATTTGGTCAGTGAACCAAAGGCTCAAATCTGAGATGTCACTTGAAAACTACTTCATTTACATATTGAGTAGGCCAAGAGAAAAGAGAGTAACAGGATTGGTAAGAGGTAAATAATCATGTTATCTTTAACCACTAAAATCTTTCCACTAAATTGGACAGATTCCAGATACTATGTTTATACCATGTCAGTTCTCCTGTTCCTGTTTCACTGCTCAAAGAGTTATTTTTTAAAGTCTTTTACTCAAAAATTCAAACAAGTGGCCCATGCTTGTAATCTCAGCACTCAGAAGACTGAGGCAGGAGGATCGCTGCAAATTTAAGACCAGTTTGAGCTACATAGTAAGTTCAGCACTAGTTGGACTATGCAAAGAGATCCTCAAACAAAACTCAGACTACAACTTAAAACACACACACACATCCATCATATCAAGATGCCCCAAAGTTTACATAACTGCTGATCTCAAGCAACCTTCAACTTGCAGCTTCTAAAGTTGCTGGAAGGCATTCTTTAAGAACTGTTTAAAAATCACGGTGAGATGATCCCAGGGAGAGGCAGAGGATGGTTAGGGCAGGGGGTATGTGAGGACTGGAGTGGAAATGATCAAATATGTCAAAATGATACCATTATTCTACACGGTTCCTAGGCACTAAGAATTTTTTAAAAAATTAAGATGAATACACTACAGTTACAAGTATAACTCAAAGCAAACGTAAAGTAAACACAAAAGTCAGAAAATACCAGTAAAAGAAGAGTTAGTTGAGTATGATGGTGCATGCCTGTAATCTCAGCACTCAAGCCGCTGATCATAGCAAGTTCAAGACCAGCCTGGAGTTTAAAGTGAGCTCAAGGCCAGCCTGAACTACACAGTGAGAGATCCTGTCTCAAAAAACAAAAGACAAAAAAAAAAAGTTAGATGAGCCTCAAAATATCATTTCAATGAGGTTCCTTGGAATTACTACCAAGGATTCAAGTCAACCCTGCCATAGACTCTTATAATGAAATCACAACTGACACTTCAAATTTGAAAATTTCACTGCACTAAAATCCTCATTTCAAGCTCCAGGAGCAGTACCAGGAACTGCAGAGAAACTAACAACAGCAACACCTACTGACTGTCTTCAGCCACTTGCTAAACTTGTTCTCTCAATCAACCACAGAAATTTAACAATGACAGTTTCGAGTCTTTTACTTAGTAACATCAATAAATTATCAGCGACACAAAAGCATTTACTCTCAAAATTTTGTGTTGCCACTAAGCATTTATGCACAAGCCATTACCCACATCATTTAAATGTACTGCTAACTGTTAATGTCAGTATAAATAACTTATTCTATGGGGAAAACGCTTTAATAATAATATCCTAGATAGCAACTGGGATGTCATGTCTATAGTTGGACACTTCAGTGACCATAAACTGCTGTACTTGTACCTTTTAATTGAGATCAATGATATTAACTTTATTCTGTATTACCCCAAGTTTTTTTTTTTTTTTTCCAAGCTTGGTAAAGTAGGCTAATTGTAGCTTTCAAAAAGTGAAACTGGGAAAGGTAAAATTTATTAAATCTGGATTACACAGAAAATTAAGACTGTTACTAAACTGGCTGCAGGGAGCTGCTAGGGGGGACTTAATCCTGTACTTTTCCAAAAGATTCAGACAGTCTCTGCCCTGGTAGATATTCCATATGAGAACAGGAAAAAGTTGATGCTTAACTCCCACAGAGTACCAGTATAAAAACAACGGCTTTAAAATTGAGTCAGAGTTTCAACATGAAAGACTTGCTTTATAAAGGAAACGCCAACCCCAGTTCATCCAGATAGACCTGGAGCCTGATGAAAGTCGACACCTTCACTCTGAAATTTGCATCGCATCATTGGCTTCAGCTTAAAAATATAATCGTTTAGTAGATACTAGGAAATTTCAATGAACGCTGCCTCTAAACTACTAGTCATGGGGGGAAAAAATCTATAAGGTAAACGCAGTCTAGGAAACATCCATCCCCAAAAGCTTTCCTTCGAAGATGAGAGCCAATAATTCTGTTAAACACCACCTCCCTGGTATCTGTTTTCTAAACTGTGAGCCCCCATGAAATTGCAATCTACCCACTTGTCCATCTAGAAATGGCCGTAAAGCAATTTAAGAAGCTTGTAAAATGCCTTTAAGGTCAGAAGATAAGTTGGAAACGGACGAAAGAAGAAAAGTTCTTTAAGCAGCACCCTCATGCCTCTCCAGCCCTTCGGTTTACTTCCTCCTAGGAAAACAGGCTTCAGCATCCCGGAGTTCACTTCCCAGACGCCTTAAAATGAAATTAACACCCTCGGGCCCCAGTCTGAACCTCTGCCTTGCCTTGGATGGAACTGCTCGGCCTGTCCCTTCCAGCATAACCTGCAAAGCTTTCACCCAGGTAACCAAAGGGCAAGAGTCTCAAAAGAAATCAGAGCAGCAAGGCAAGCCCAGCCTACCGACGCGGACGCCGGACTCCCGGCCTTTAGCAGAGGGCCCTCGGAGAGTTGCACAGAGCTGGATTCCGAGGTTCGTGCGCGCGCGCCGAGCTCGGGGGAGCCCGGACTCGCCCCCAGCCGGGCGGGCTGCGCTATCAGCACGAAACCAAATAGGAAATCAAACTTTCAGCGGCCTGCCGGTGTACTGATCAGGGCCCAAAACCCGAGCCCCAGCCAAAAAGACAGCGCAGGGGGCTGTCAGCAGTCTTGCACCCCAACTCCCGACCCAGACCCAGGACGCGGGGTCACTTACCGCTCCGTCCGGCCGCTCAATGCAACCGCGCTTCCCAGGCGCCTCCCTCGCGCGCTCTCCCTGGGGAGAAAGAGAAACAGTGCAGACTGTCGGCGCGCGCTTCCTCGCCGCCGCCTCTGCGGAGAACAGCGGGCGCACGGTGCCGAGCTGCGTAGGGGGCCCGCGGGAGGCGAGGGCGGAATCAGCCCAACTCCCGAGCCTGCTCTGAGGGTGCTCGGGAATGCAGGCTGCGAGCAGCCAGCGAGAGTAGGGGGCGGAGGTGCCCGGTCCCCGGGCATCAACTATTGTCTAGGCGCCCGGGCCCCCGCTCGCGCCACCCCCGAGGCGCAGCGCCCCTCATCCCACTCGCCGGCCTCCCACAGAAAGAGCCGAGGGAAGCGAACGCGGGCGGCGGGACGTCCGGGGTTCGAGGTGGCCGCGGGAGAGCGGAGGCGCTGCCGAGAGGGGGAGGGGACAGGTAACTGCCGCCCGGGACTGGAAGGCCTGGGAGGATCCGTGGGGGCAGGAAACGGGCAGGGAGCCACGGGGGCGTGAGGAGATGCAGTCAGTGGCTGTGGGGCGGCCTCTGGGGCCCAAACCTGGCCCTCCCTGCAACCCTCCTCCGGGGGGCTCGGCGCCGCACTGACTTTTCGCTCACTCGCTCACGCATGCACTGAACTCGTTCACAAAGTTGCCGGCGGTGGCGGCGCTGCGCTCGCCCTTCTCCTCCCTCTCCGCCTCCCACCTCCCGCCCCTCAGCCCATTGCTTTCCCTCCCTCAGTCCCTCCCAGTCAAATCTCGGGTGAGATCACCACGGGGCTGTTCTGTGCGGCGCGCAAATCTCGCGAGAGCAGCGACAGTTTGGCCCGCCAGCCTGGAGAAGTGAAAGGAGTTGGAGGAGGGTGGGAGAGCGTTGGAACTCCTGGTTGCCATGACAACGGCAAAGCCCTGGATTCCTGTCTCCCGCGGAGAGCCAAGACTGCAAATATGGGTGCAGTTTTCACCTGCCCCCTCCTCTACCCGACGCCCTAGCAGTTGAGGAAGGCGAGGGCTGCAAGAGGAAGGAAGATTTTTTAAAACCGATTCGAGAGGGTATGTTATAGTGTCTGGCCACACTTGACAAATGAGGCTGATTTTTAAAAAGGATCTGGGGCTATAGAAGCCAGCACATATCTGTACTTCCAAATTTCCACCACATATTCAGTTTATCTGCTCACTGCTTTTAATCTCATTCCCAGCCACACACAAAAACCTTACCATACCTTCCTCATTCCTACAACACCCACACACACGCCGCTCCTGCCTGGGCTTCTAGAGGAGCTGGCTGGTTCATCGTTGCGTTCTCAACGCCTCCACCAGCTTGGTGCACAGTAGGTCCTCCGTACTTCCCTTTGTTCCTACTCTTAAAAAGATCTGGGCTTAGTATGTAAGTTTCTGCACCGCAGTCACATTTTTTACTTCACTTCAAAATGACTCTTCATTTGTCCATACCATCTCCTCTTATCCTGGTTATAATTCCTACTTTCTCCATCTTTGTCTCGTAAAAACCCTATTCATTCAAGAGAGGGCTGTGGAAAACAAAGCTTTTTTTAAAAAAAACATTTAAACATTCTCAGACGCCTTTATCCCCATTCCAAATTGCTACTAAGGATGAAGATGAAATCTTTTCATCCTATTTCTTCATTCTATCGTGAAAACTTTTTGTGGAGGTATATATATATTGCCCAAATAAAACAGGTCCTATTAATAGAAGAGAGCTTAAACTTTAGATTTCAAAACAGGTGAGTCAAAATAGAGTCTATGGAATCTGAACTATATCTCAATATAAAATATAGATTCATCCCTGTACATTAATATGGGAAAACCATAGTTTAACTCAATCCCATAGAAGTAGAAATCTAACATATGAATCTAAGCACATATAGACTAAGCAGTTCTGACTCGTTTAAAAGTTATTTGCGAGCTTAAAGTCTATGGCAATAAAGTTTTTATATCAGAAATTTAAGTGGCACAATGTAAAAAACAATAAAGTCAAAAAACTAGAGTTTGAGTTCTGTACCTCTAACAGTTGTGTCTCCTTGAGAAGTCATTTAATCTTTGTTTATTATGTGTAAAATTAGGAAGTGGCCCACATGTTAAAGTTATTAAAGCTTTTCAAATTCTGTAACTCTTAGACCTATAAAAATTTCCAGTAAATAACAGATTATACCAAACAATAAAAAACCAAATGAGTGTTTTGTTTTATAGTAGGTCATTTTTACTATCTATGTGTTGACTTTTTGTAATGTTGAGAATTTTATTTTAAAGCTTCTCTTGTCTCAACTCCAAAGACAACCAAAAATTAACCATGTTGCAGTTGTTTCAGAGGAAATCCATTGTTCACAATTTGTTTTTACACTAACTTGAAACAGATTCCTTGTTGTTTAAAAATATGCTAATTCAAACCAAAGACCTAAACAACACATACAACACTTCCACAATGGTAACAGTAAAAAGAAGAGGACAAGGGAGGGAGGAGAGACCTTAGATTTACATTCCGGTATGTTTAGTATCACATATCTACAAAGAAACTAATAAAACTTTACCTGCCAGTCTGTTTCAAGGATCAGTCCTTCTTAATGTAGCGCATTATTATAAATCAGCTGTTACCGTTTTGCCCTTAAAGGATGACTACCAATTTGAATCTACAATTTCAAGGCCACCTGCTTTATCCTTCCAGATAGCCATATGAAACAATTGACCCAAATGGTGGCCAACTCTATTAATTTTCTTCCGTACTTCCTAGGAGACCCACAAGATGAGTGTTGCATTTTAGAGTCCAACAACAGCACAAAGATAATTTCCCTAATTTTCAAGCATAGAATACTAGAAATTATCCCAAGAGTATAAAACTGCTCTTTCCGAGTTTTGGGCTAAGTTACCGGTCACTGATGACAGAACTTGCCTGGGTAGTTCTGAAGGAGATAAAAGGTGAAATTCACCAAAGCTGAGTTTCTAACTGCCCATTTTCCAGGTCAAGCAGTCCCACTGTGCCTTCCCCGAGATCCAGTGTAGCAAACAAGTGCATCAGAAGACAGAAAGGGGAAACAGAGTTTGCCAAGCATAGATTGGATCTCACCCTTCCTCCTCCCCTCTCTTGGCTTCTCTGCTCATCTGCTCAAGCTCCTCCTCCCAGCCACCCCCACACAGAGAAAAGATCTGTAACCCTTAGTGCTGATAAGTGTGCCTACTCCCTTACCATGTTACTCCTTCCCTATTTTCTTCCTAGTTTACTAGAACACAATTTATTTTGCTCTTGGTCTTCTCAACAAAACACCTGAATATATTAAATGTGCCTTTGACATAAGGGCCAACCAAGCAAGGAAATTTTGTGCCTTTTTTAATGTTGTAAACATTGATTTATATTTGCGTGTTTTACAGTTAAAATCTGATTTATCCCACTATTGTCATTTGGTTCAAAACTTCCTATTACTGGCTGTAATTGTACTTCTGGGCACTATTAACTAATATTCTAAACCATATGAGAGGTTCAAAGTGCCCTCAGAATTCTGTAAGTTTAAAGAACATCCAGTATTGTTTAAATGTTAGAATTTTATTGTTTTAGCCCTATGTAGTATAACTCTACCTGAATAAGAGATTCCTTATTCACCTGGTCTCTCATTTTTGCAACCATGTTTCTTACAAATTTAAAACACCAGCTGTGTCATAATCAATCAACACCCCACATTATGCAATCGCAGTTTAGCTACTACACTTCTCTGTTGATCTGTTTTTTTGTTTTATTTTGTTTTGTGTTTTGTTTTTTTGTTTTTTGTTTTGTACCAGGGAATCAAACTCGACCTCGCACTTGCCAGGCAGGCACTTATGCCACTGTGCTAAATCCCTGGCCCAACTCTTGTATTCTGAATCAAAGGGCTATTTCACACCTTCTCCTCCACCCAACCTGTGCTCATCAAAGTTCCTGATCTCACTTCTTTCACTTGTAAAATAGATGCAATCAGAAGAGAACTGAACATACACTCTGAGTCTACCAACCTACCACCTCTGTCTGCGTACACACCACTTCTGTCCCTTAGGAGAAACTCTGGGTGCTCTTAGCTAGGACTAACCTCTTGCTCTGTGTATCAGTCCTATCTCTTCTATTTAGGGAAATTGATTCAGCAGCTGTCCACTGTGTCCTGCATCAATCAGCACATTTTTCCTCTCTACTGAATCATTTTAGAAGGTTACAGCCATGCTGTAATATCTGCCATAGTGAAAGTAAAACACTTCCTAGATTTCACGTCTACCTATGTTGCACTTTACACCTGGAGTCTTCACAAGGCTTTGCCATACTTGTCTTCAACCCATCTTCTTTCAATCTCTTGCATCTACTCTGAGCAAGCTTTTATAGCACTACTCCATGGAAACAGGGCTTCTCTGAACCTCAGTGACAGCCTCGTCACTGATTAGATAAACCCATTCCTCAGATGCCATCCTCAACTGGCCAAACCCATAGACAGAGGAGGAGCAGTTGGGAGCAGGTTCATGCTTTATACCACTGTCTTGACTTCTCACACTTTTCTCATACCTTTCTGTCCTTTTTAATCTTGAATCTCTAAACACCAAAGTTTTCAGGACTCAGTCGTTGGCTATCTTTGTGGTCTCCTCTCAGTCTGTGGTGATCTCAGCAATCTGACAGCATGAAATACCATCCATACACTGACAGCTCCCAAATTGACACCTCTGGTCAAGTGTATTTGAGCATCCTACTCAGCATCTCCAATTGGTTATGCAATAGGGATCTCAAATGTCACACATCTAAAACTCGAAGCATACCCCTAAAACCAGTGCTCTCTTCAGTTCTAGGTATCCCCCAAACCAGTTTCTTCTTGCAGTTCTCCCTGTCTTAGCTAAATTAAGGGCATTGTTAAGGTTTATATCTCCATATCCCCACAGAGTCTTATTCACCGACAGGTGGGCCTTGTGGCAGGTGATTAAACCCTCAGGGCCCTGTAGCTGAGCTGGGCTTGATCTGGGGAGGCAGGCAGGTTGCTGAGGGTATGACCTAGTGTATCTTCCTCTTTGGCTCCTCTCTTCTCTCTCTGCTTCCTTGCTGCGAGCAGCTTTTCCTCCACAATGCCTCCCTGCTGTGTTGTCCTACCTCAGAGCCAGTAG